ACTTCACTCTGTTGATGTGTTGATAAAAGTTGAAATAAAGTCCACTGTAAAACTACATGGTTTTCTGTGCCTCCGTAGATTTTGTAATTTTTAATTTTTAAAAATTCTTCCATGGGATGAGAGCATTGCTGACTAGGCTGTTAATTATCACCCATCTATAATTACCCTGGAGAAGGTGGTGGTAATGAGCTACTGCCTTGTACCGCTGCAGTCCTTAGGCTGTAGTGACACCCACAATGCTGTTAGGGAAGACGGTCCTCAACCTTGACCCAGCGACGCTGAAGGAAGTGATCCGTTTTCAAGTCAGGATCTGAGTGGCTGGGAGAGGAGCCTGCACCTTGGCGATGTTCTCATGTATCTGCTGCTATTGTCCTTCAAGATGGTAATGGTTGTGGATTTGGAAGGTGCTATCAATGCAGCCTTGACACTTTGCTGCAGTGCATCTTGTAGATGGTACAAACTACTGATGTGTGTCGGTGGTGGAGGGAGTGGGATGTTTGTGGATGTGGTGCCAATCAAGCGGGGGCTGCTCTGCCCTGGATGGTGTTGAGCTTCTTGAGTGTTGTTGGAGCTGCACTTGTGATAGTGGCCAGGCTTTGAGGAGTCAGGAGGTGAGTTATGCAATATTCCTAACCTCTGACCTGCTCTTGTAGCTGCAGTATGTATACAATTTGGTTTTCTAATCCATGGAGACTTCTGAGTGTTGCTGATGGGCGATTCAGTGATGGATGGTAATGTCATTGAACGTTGAGGGAAGATGATTAGGTTCTCTTGTTGTAGGTGGTCATTGCCTGGCTCTTGTGTGTGCAGTCTGTCCTTTGTCACTTCAGCCTAAACCTGAATATTGTCCTGGTCTTGCTGTACCTGAGCACTACCTGATTCAGCGCCTTGCGTGTTACAAATTCAACACGGGAGAGGGGAGCATGTGAAGAAAAAAGAAAGTTTGTTCCAAGGTGATGTCAGTTTATTAAAATCTTGAATGTCTGCCTTAATACTCATCCTTGATTAGTCTTGCCAAAAGTTTAAATGGAAAAGACTCTGTGAACTGAGCATTACGATTTGACGTGAGAATGCTTGGGGCTTGATGCCACTCCTTGTAGTGTGTTAGAAATCTTTGTTTGCGCCATTAGTGATGAATGCACTAAAATAAACTAAAAGTTGTGAAATAGTGAGAGCTGGATTGGGGTGGGAAAGTTAATGGGTAAGAATGTAACTGAAAGTTCTGATGCTGATATCTCTCTAGGTTGCATGTTTATGGAATTATTCATGCTCATGTGGTTCTCAGTCTCTGTCGAGTGAATTGAGGTCTACTTGTCTGGGGTTCTAACCAGTAGGAAATTGTTCAATTTTCCCTCTTAGGCAACAGAGATCTGGTGGCACAGTGGGTAGTGAGCCTGCCTCTGGGCCAGAAGCTCCAGGACTTGGGTCAAGGAAGGTGCACTTGCAATGCAGCCAAATAAGCTGATTATCAATCTGCGAATCTCTCCTGTTGGGCACTAATGCAGGCGGTAGGGATGAGAGATTCCTTGTCAGGCACACGATGGCAGTACTGGCCAGGTAGGCAACGTTTTGGGCTTCTGGGCCCGTCCACTCCAGACCGGCCACTTCTTCCCTTCCTCCCTTTACTTCTTGTCAGCGGAGAATGTGACATCGTGGAGGACTGTGGGCCAGAGTGGGACTCTTGGCAAGGCAGCGGCCTGGCCAGGTTGGGGAATCCAGGGTCTCCTGGTTGCGGTGGGCCCAGAGCAGGGACTCCTGGTTATCAGTGCGGCAGCCGGTCCTGGTTGTGGGAGGCCTGGAACCAGGGACCTGGGAAGGGCAGCAGAGCCGGGGCCCTGGTGGTGGGTCAAGCACGGGGCCCCAGCAACGAAGAGATGCTGCCTGAAGAGTGGCAACTCCATTGGTGGGTCAGGCACAGGCGGTGGAGGGGTAGCGGCGCAGGAATTGTTGGTCGACTCGCTCAGAACTCATGGCAGAACAAAGGTGGACCTCCTGTCAGCTTTATCTTTTTGTTCTTAAACTATTCAAAATGGATTGTGGTGACACTTGAAGCTTTTCGCTGTTTTTTTTACCATGTTGCTCGTTGTAGAGTACAAGTGACAATAAATCATCATTCATTCTTGATGAAGAGAAGATTGGAGCTCTTGATGAAGAGAAGATTGGAGCTCCAGATGACAACGTGCAGAAGTGTCTGGTTGCAACTCTGACTCTTGAGTCAGTTTTTAATGCCAACACAGTGGGAGCTATTGGAAGGGTTCTCGACCATAGGAGTTCTCCATAATGACCACAAGTTTTGCCTCATAACGGAACAGAATGAACTGCATTGTGGGTGTCTGCAGTGAGATTTGAACCGTGTCCTCAGAGCATGAGCCTGGGCCTCAGGATTTCTGGGCCAATGACATTGCTGTTTACTTCAGGCCAGCTACAGAGATGAAGGTCAAAACCAGGAACTGCAGAGGAATCAAAGTTTCAAAGACAGCCAAAAGAACTGCAGATGCTATAAATCAGAAACAAAAACAGAAGTTTTTGGTCTGGCAGTATCTGTGGAGAGAAATCCGTTAATGTTTCGGGCCCAGTGACCATTCTTCAGAACAGATGACTCAGGTTGTTGGCTCTACACATTCCTGACTTTGACACACTCTCTTTCCCCAGCCCAGACCAGGTAAGGATGGCAGTTTCCTTCCCTAAAGGGCATTAGTGAACCAGATGGGGTTTTTCCCCCAACAATTGGCAATAGTTTCATGGCCATCATTAGAATCTTAATTCAGATTATTTTATTGAATTCAAGTTCCACCATCTGTGGCGGGATTTGAACCCAGATCCCCAGAACATTAGCCGGCTCTCTGGATTAACAGCCTAGTGATAACACCACTGGGCCGTCGTCTCTCCTTTTTGAGTGACAGCATCTTGTTGACAGTCAACTGAATGCACCAATCCAGATCAGGAGCCATCTACTGGAGGAAGGTTCACCAGGGGACGTTCTCTGGATCAAGGAATCGGAAAGGTGGAAAGACAGTTCTTTATTTTAAAAATTCACTCCTCAGATCTGGGCATTACTGGCTGAGCCAGCATTTATTACACATCCCTAGTTGCCCCTTGAGAAATTGGTGGTGAGCTGCCTTGAGCAACGCTGAAGGACTGGTGATGTATTTCTAGGTCAGGATGATGAGTGTTTTGGATGAGAGATGGTATTTCCACATATCTGCCCTTGTCCTACTGGATGGATGTGGCCGTGGGTTTGGAAAGTGCAGTCCAGGGAGTTTTGGTGTGTTCCTGCAGTGCATCTTGCAGATGGTACACGCTGCTGCTACTGAAGGAAAAATTTTGTCCTTGGGACAAACCCTATGGAATGGCAGTCTTAGAACTACAGCAAACTTTTTATTAACTGGCACTTATGGGACCCGGAGTGCGCCTGTTGGTCAAATATCCCAGATAATCAAGAGGTCCGCAAAACGGCAGCACAGCATGGTGCCTCAGTGGTTAGCACTGCTCTCTCATGGCGCCAGGGACCCGGGTTCAATTGCACCCTCGGGCAACTGTCTGTGTGGAGTTCGTACATTTCTCCCTGTGTCTGCGTGGGTTTCCTCCGGGTGCTCCGGTTTCCTCACAGTCCAAAGATGCACAGGTTAGGGTGGATTGGCCATGCTAAATTGCCCATAGTGCCCAGCGTGAGGTGGATTAGTCATGGGAAATACAGGGTTACAGGGATAGGGTCGGGGTGCTTGTGGGTGGTGAGTCTGGGTGGGATGATCTTAGGAGAGTCGGTGTGGATTTGTTGGGTTGAACGGCCTGTTTCCGTACTGCAGGGATTCTATACAAAACCTGGCCAAGTGAAGCTTCAATGCATCAACAAGCCTCAAAATCATGTTAGAAACATCAACACACCTTCTCAAACCAATGTAAAAGCACAGAATGTAACCGAAATGTAATTTAAGCTGTAAATGGGGTGCTGGTTTAAACAAAATTTGCTGTACCATAGTTAAAGTGGTCCTTGCTAATCCAGTCCAGGACAAACCAGAGCCTGACTGTGGCCAACCCTTAGCCTTGCGACCTCAGTAAGAATCCCTTGTATTTGTGATGAGATAAACGAAGCTTTGCTTTACAGAAGAGGGATGGTCTAATCATCTTAAACTCAGTGAATGAGGAGGCTATCACTTGGCTTCGGTCACTCAACTAAGTAAAACAAAGCCACTGCACCATGCACTGTCAGCACTCCCAGCGTGTCTATCTTGGAAGAACCAATTACTGCAGATGCTGGAATCTGTGCTGGAGATCACGGCAGCATCTGTGGAGAGAAAGCAAGCTCAGGTTTGCAGTCTAGATGATTCTTCATCGAAGCTGACATGAAGTGTGGAGGGGATGTACTCCCACCATGTCCTCTCTCTCCTCCCCCACCCCAGTTAGACATAATACAGTGTGGAGTCCTGATGAAGGGTCCCGACCCGAAACGTTGACCCTCCTGCTCCACTGGTGCCGCCTGTCCTGCTGTGTTCCTCCAGCTCCACACTGTGTTGGCTCTGACTCCAGCTTCTGCAGTTCTCCCTATCTCTGGTAGTTAGACACGCCGTTGTTCTGTCATTCTCACATTCCCATCACTTAATCTGAACATCAACATTCTATCCCCCACCTCCACCTCCACCCCACCCCACTCCAGCGCTCCAAACCTCACCCCCCTCGTTGCATAAATACTGTCCCCTCCACGCCAGCTCTGATGAAGTCATCTGGACTCCAGGCATTAGCTCGTGCTCTCTCCATGAGTCGCTGTGATCTCCAGCAATTTTGTGTTGTCTGTCTTGGAGTTTGGAGTATTGTGAAACAGGTAGTGCAAGTGGCTACATCCCCTTTCTCTCTCTCTCTCTCTCTCTCTCTCTCTCTCTCTCTCTCTCTCTCTTTCTCCGCACATCCGGCAATCTGAGGGAACAATGGGAGTGACATCCCCACCTACAAACGTTGGCTGACTCAATCATTGCCAGGGAGCAGTGGGTGTGTCCAGCCAGTGGGATATACAGGTCCTTCTCACCAGCAGCTTCATTTCAGTGAGGTTCACACTTTAGCCACAAGCAGGTCGCTGCCCTCACGCTGAGTCTTGTCCTTCAACGGAGGTTCTGCCGAGCGTGCTCAATAACCAATTCCACACACCCTTTTCCTATCAGTTCACAAGACTCTCCATGTTGTAAGTAGTAGCAGATTCCTTGTCTTTTGAGAAAAATGCTTAAGAGCGTCGTCGGTTGTCAACAAGTTCGTGTTGTTTTTTTTTCTCTCTAATTGGCGTGCATGGTTTTTGTCCAGATCTCTTCTGAAGCCAGAGTTTTCACATTATTGTTGTTTCTTTCTCCTTTGATTATTTTCTGGTGTTGAAGAGGCCGCCACAGGCCCCTATTTAGACAGTGAATAGTTGTCTTAACGCAGACATCCTCCGGGAAGGGAATTATTTCTGACAGCAGGGCGTCGTGGAGCACTTAATTTTGACTTTTTTTTAAATGGAGGCGTAGCCTGTGGTCGTACCTTAAGAAATGCCACAGACCGTTCATGCATAGCAAGATTCCACAGGCAGCTGGAAGCAGCTATTGACAAGCTGGTTTTTGTTGACATTATTGGTGGAAGTACAGGTGGTGGCCCAGTGGTTAGCGCTGCTGCCTCACGGCGCCAGTGACCCGGGTTCAATTCCACCCTTGGGCAACTGTCTGTGTGGAGTTTGCACATTCTCCCCGTGTCTGCGTGGGTTTCTTCCCACAGGCCAAAGATGTGCAGGTTAGGGTGGATTGGCCGTGCTGAATTGCCCCCATAGTGTCCAGGGATATGCAGGCTGGGGTGGGTTAGTCTTGGGAAATGCAGGGTTACAGGCATATAGAGTACTGGGTGGGATGGTCTTCGAAGGGTCATTGTGGACTCGATGGGCTGAATGGCCTGCTTCCACACTGTAGAGATCTATATTAAAAAGAGCATTCTCTCTTCTTCGCTTCTTCCCCTTCCCCACCCCCCCCCACAAAAAAAAATGACACTTTTAACAATGTTTCAGAGATAGTGGGAACTGCCGATGCTGGAGAATCTGAGATAACAAGGTGCAGGGCTGGATGAACACAGCAGGCCAAGCAGCATCAGAGGAGCAGGAAAGCTGACGTTTCAGGTCTAGACCCTTCTTCAGATTTTTCACTAGACTATGAGCTGTATTGTGTCTGGAGTGGGTTTTGAATTGTCAGATTGTGGGATGAGAGTGCGATCCACAAAGCCGTGGCTGAAATGTTCAGTGCTTGGGGTACTCCAGCGCGGAGGGTGATTCACCCAGAAATTGTGTGGCAGTGGGACTGCATGTCATGAGGGGAGCGCTCTGGCAACATTCGGGCGTGTTGTATCCGGAGCTATGGACAGTGATGGTGAGATCTCCAGCCTTCTCTCCAACAAACAGTGACCAGGCATCTCTCCCACTCTTACTGCTGCTGATTGGTGCTTGTCAGGCGGATTTGCAGGTTGACGCTTGACCCATTTTGTCACGTTATGAGCTCTCCTTCCTTGGCCGTCATGTCCTGGAGTGGGGCTGGAACCCAGAGCTCCTGGATCAGAGGCAGGGATGCTACCCGTTGCACCACAGAACTCCTGAAACATTTTGCAAGTAATGTATGTAGTTCACATGTTCCTGCTTTCGATTTCAGAGCCTCTGTGTTATTGGATCAGCTGTGCCCCAGCAGCACACCTTACACTCCCAGAAGGATGACTGATGAACAGTTTGACGTTGGCCCACCACCCTTGACCAATATCTGCCAAACTTTGTCAGGTAAGTCCACTAATATATCAGTGTGCGGTCTGAATGCAGGAAAGGTGGAAGTACCTCAGTTCAAGGTGATGATTAGCAGAATCTGTTGCTGACCCATGACAGGTTTTAGACACCTATCTTTTCTTTTAGATGTTGAATCCTTACCCTCTCCTTTCCTTATGACCCTCCTTCTGGACCTTGAGTGCGGCTGACAGTCCTCCTTCACCAGTGCACCTGGTCGGTTGACTGTGGGGGGCATCACAGTGACCCAGCCACTCCTGTTGTACCTCCAAGCAGGAGAGTGATTCAGCAGGCTCTGGTTAGCGAGCGCTCAGTATTGGCACCTAGGCTTTCGCGTTCCACTCTTGGATTCTGTGTGCACACAATGCCCACGATGGAGCTGTACACTCTTAGTCCCTTCAGTAAATGTCTTGTAACATTGTCTGGATACTCTCTTTACCCAGAGGTAATGTTAAGTGGACCGTTGGCTCCCGTTCTTGCGTTGCCTTTCACTCTCTGTAACCCCTCTGACAGTGGGGGTCGGTGACTTTACCAGGAGGCCGTGTAGACAAGGGGAAATGGTGACACTGTTCGTAGGACTAGTTCGATTCCCATAGCAGATGATGAAATTTTTGAATTCAGTACAAAGATGTTGGAGGGTTTGAGCTACAGGGAGAGGCTGAATAGCCTGGGGCTATTTTCCCTGGAGCGTCGGAGGCTGAGAGGTGACCTTATAGAGGTTTATATTCCAGTAAGGGGCATGTATAGGGTGAATTGCCAAGGTCTTTTTCCCCAGGATGGGGGAGTCCAAAACTAGAGGGCATAGGTTTAAGGCGAGAGGGGAGAGATTTAAAAGGGACCTGAGGGGCAACTTTTATACGCAGAGGGTGGTGTGTGTATGGTATGAGCTGCCAGAGGAAGTGGTGGAGGCTGGTACAATTACAACATTTAAAAGGCATCTGGATAGGGACATGAGAAGGAAGGGTTTAGAGGGATATGGGCCAAATGCTGGCAAATGGGACTAGGTTAGATTGAGATATCTGGTCAGCATGGACGAGTTGGACCGAAGGGCCTGTTTCCGTGCATCTCTGAAAATAAGAATGGCAACCATGGAATCACCTTCAATTGTGAAAGAACATCTGAAACCTTAATTTTGCTTCTCCCTGCACGGGTGCTGCCTGACCTACTCAGTATTTTCAACAGTTAAACATTTTTAAGCCTCTGATGCTTTTCAAAGTCAAGGTCAGAAATCACACGACACCAGGTTAGGGTCCAACAGGTTTATTTGAAATCACAAGCTTTCGTAGCGCTGCTCCTTTGTCTGGTGAAGTCTTCACCTTACACAGTGCACCGAAAGCTGGTGCTTTCGAACAAACCTATCGGACTGTAACCTGGCATCGTGTGGCTTCTGACTTTGTCCACCTCAGTCCAACACCGGCACCTCCATTTCAAAATTGTGCCATGTGAGAGAGAGCTTTTGCACTGAGATCTCCTGTTTGCAAGCTCTTTGCAACACAGTCAGAGCTTTAAATATAAGCTGTCAGGTTAAATGCAACAAATATGAGATGCCCTTGGCCATGATTGTCTTTCACAATCTCCCTTTGTGTTCTTAAAGCTTTACTATCTCCTACAATTAGTATAAATGTATTACATTTATTGCTTAAACATTGCATTCTACAGTGTGTAATAGTATGCAGTTGATGCCGCCCTTTTGTTGAGGCCATTGTATGTGTGGTGCGTGGGAAGTTGTGTGACTGAAACGCCCAACAATGTTACAAGACAAATTGTCAAAAAGACTGACTATCTACAGCCCTGTAGTCACTGCCAGTTCTTGGGCTACCTCTATCCACCATCTCATTCCCATGCCATCCAGAGCACTGAGTTCCTGGCACTGTGTCCCAGGAACGGGAGACTCCTTGGGTGTGGGTCAATGTGCGGTACGTGTGCCTCTGAGTTGCGGGCTCAGGGTTCAAGTCCCACGCTCTAGGGCTCGAGTGCAACAAACCAAGCTGATGCTCCCAAGCACAGTGCTGAGAGACAACACTGCACCCTCTGAGGTACTGTCTGGTTTCTAAAGTAGTTAGTACCTTAAAGGGTTAACTGGCATCATGTAATTGGCTCCACCCATCAGGACATAAAGGGCTGATGCTGGAAGGAACTTACCAGTTCTGTTGGTTTGTACTAGTTGCTGTTCCATCTTGTAAGACCAGTTCTGATGCTAGGTCATGTAGCTGTCGGTATTGTGCGTTCACTGTTGGGTCAAACCTGATGCATGGTGTCACTCAGATGTTACGTACCTCGCTATCAAGCACCAAGGGATAAACCTAGTCTGTTTATTAGGATTAAAACTTCTTTCTGCTGAAGACCTTGTGTGGTTAATTACTAATACCATTCAGATTGATCGATAGCAGAGAGTCTATCCCACAGTATCTGAGATGATTCAGGTGAACACAACCTCAGTATCAGAGAGCTGGATTTTTCCACATATAGCTCTGTCTTTCATTTAAAAACCAAAGAAGTCCCACTTTGCAGAAGTGAAGGGGAGTTCACCCCATTGCCTGGCTGATACCTACTGCTTAGACAACCAAAAAAAAGCATCTCAGTTCAGTTCATTTCTGATGAAGGGTCACTGGACCCGAAACGTTAAATCTGTTATTTCCATCACAGATGCTGCCAGATCTGCTGAACTTTTCCAGCAACTTTGTTTTTGTTCCTGATTTCCAGCATCCGTAATTTTTTTGGTTTTAAAAAAAAAGCATTATTCAGTCACCACCACATGTCTGTTGGTGGGAACTTCCCGTGAGAAAATTGGCTGTTTTAGTTTCTTACATTAAAACGGTGGCTGGACTTCAGAATGTGCTTCATTAGTGGTAAAGAATTTTGAGGCATCTAATGTCAGGGCAATTACAAGATAAGTATGTATTTGTTCTTTTCAGGCAGGTTCATTGGAATCTGCACAGTGGGTTTTATAGGGTTCGGTCGAAAGGACAGGTCACCAAAGCTTGTTTTAAAAAAAAAAAAAAAAAAAATTATTTTACCTATTTTTCTAATCGACCTGTTCAGACAGCTATTAATACCCTCTGGAGCAGATGGGAGTTGAATCTGGGCCTTCCTGTCCAGGGATAGGGACACTACCACAGCAGTACAAGAGGGCCCCCTGTCTGAGGTCAAGCGACACCCAGGCAGGGACTTCATCCCTGGGCCCTAAGATTAAAAATTTGATGCTCATCCAACTAAGCCCCCTGGGCTTGTGCTCCTTTGACTGTAGAAGATTAGGGAGTAATTTATAAGAATTGGGAGCAAGTGTAAGCCATTGATTTGATAGCTTGGCCTGGATAAGGTAGATAGAGGAAGTGAACGTTATCTGAGGTGATGGAGCTGAGAGAATTCCAGAGCAGAAGGGTGTAGCCTTAAATTCAGAGCAGACCATTTAGGAATGATGTCAGGAAGCACTTGTTCAAAGGACAATGCAAATCCGAAAGAAATTGCCTGGAAAAAGTCCTTTTAAGCCTGAATTGGCGACTTAAAAGTATTGAAATATAAGCTTGTCAGACTTCTAAAAACTCAAAGAACTGCGGATGCTTAAATCTGAAACAAAAACAGAAGTTGCTGGAAAAGCTCAGCAGGTCTGGCAGCATCTGTGGAGAGAAATCAGAGTTA